AGTGACCTTTGAAACTCAGGCTGCACAGATAGATATTTGCTGAATCAGCAGGACCAATTGCTATTCCTCTCTCTTGATTTTGGGCCAAGGGGAAAATGTGCCAGGATGTCTTCGTAAGGCCCTGTGGTGTTGGCTGTGTGAGTCTGGGAAGGGCCTGAGAGTGTGGAAGGAGAAAGATGCGGTGGAGCAAGGCACAGGGCTTTCCCAGGGGCAAAGAAATGACCTGTTTTTCTAAAATTGTGTTCTTTTTGGATGAAGGGAAGGTAAGAACAACATTCCAGGACCTTGGAAAGGTAGGGACAGCCCATTCATTCTACACCAGCTTCCAGGAATGAGCAAAAAGACACCTACTCCCTCTTCTCAATGAGCCTTCATTCTGGCCCCATTTTCCAACTTATTGAATAGGAGTCCTCTCCCTTGTGAGGGTAGGAGAAGACAAAAAAAGGATAAGCAGATTGGTGAGGCTTGGCTGTATAATGCTTCCTCAGGCCTTCTAGACACAAGATAGATTCCCTGTGTGCTGAGGCTTTCCAGGTCAGGAGGGTACAAGAGGTGGGGGACTGTACCATCAGAGGATGGAATGATATCCACGTGCAATGCAGACATCTCTAGGATTTGAATCATCTTGGTTGTTTCCTTTCTGGTTATCCTTGACTTTTACTATTTCCTGACATGAACCCTTTCTTAAATCCAACCAAGAATTCTCTGGCTCTGAACCTAATATGTATACACATCTTTCTTATCCTGTGCTGTTCTGATAGAAGGTAGCTTTAGATCACCCCAATATGCTTACACTTGTTTAAATGTTTCCAGATATGTGTCTCATGTGGGTTGAGCAAGGACCACCTGCTTCTTTCCTATTTTTCTACAGCACAGAGTGAAGGGTTTTGAATGGACTGGATACATGATACATTTAGTTGGCTGACTGATAGACCTTCACACTTTCTTAATAGCTTCCAGAATGGACCAGACAGGAACTGCCATCATCAAGCAGACAGGAACTGCCATCTTCAAGCAGACCTCACTCAATAACAACAGAAACACCTGCTGTTCATGTCTTAGAAAACTCAGGCTAAAAACTACATCCAGCTAAAAGCAAGAGCTCTTTTAGCCATCCCCAGCCTCCAGCCAGCATTAGACCAAGGAGCTCCAAAGATGACTCAAGATTTATTTCATGCAGGGATGGGGGTGTATCTCAGTGATAGAGCACTTGCCTAGCTTGTGCAAGGCCCCAGGTGGCATTCCCAGCATCAGAAAAAAATGGATTTATTTCATGATTAAAGGATAAGTGCAGAGAGGAAAGAGACGAACCTGTGTAGCTTAAGTGAAAGTGAAGGATAGAAGGAAGCAAAGGAGAGAGAAAGAATTCAAGGGAAAGAGAAGAAAGGGGAAAAGAATAAGGAGGAAAAACAGAAGAGAGGGAAAAAAGAAAAGTAAGAGGAAGGATATAAAAGGAAGACAAAGGAGGAAGAAAGAAGGCAGGAATTATTAAGCTAAGCCATTCAGACTTTGCAGCCACATTGAGATAGGGAGCTTGGAGTAAAAGCTGAATTTGAAGTATAATATAAGAATCTTATCTAACTTCCAGTAATCACCTGCCTATGGGTGTGGAGACACAGGCAAGTGCTGGTATCCATACTCTAAATGCATGATCGAGTAGGTAGGCAATTGTGCTTAAACAGAGAAGCTGTGGTCACACTGAAGCCAGCAGCTTTAGATAGGGTCATGTGCTTCCATGGCAGGGGGACTTTGCCAGGTCAGGCTGAGGCCTGGCTCCAACCAGGAAAGGGATAATAGTCAGTTCCGTAAATGCTGTGAGCCTTGATTGAAAAAATAAAGAGGAGAAAGCTATGTTTGCTGCTTTCATTAAGAAGCATAAGCAGTGGGGGCCAGAGCTTAGCAAGAGTTGAGAAGCATGCAGAGAAAGAATTTTAACCCCTTGAGGATTTTTCTTTCATAATATTTCTAGGCTCACACACCTCCACATAATTTCTTCCTTAGTCTGACCTCCAATGCCACCCCCTTTGTGTGTCCCTCAGTTGAAGGAGGGAGAGAAGGCAGGTCACATGTTAATGTAGACCAGGTGGCAATTAAATGATTCATTATTTTGTAGTCACAGGTTTTCCAGGGTTTCTGCCTCTCCTGGAATTGAGCAGGAAAGGGAGTTAAGGGGATAACTTCAAACTCTGTGCTGAAATAATGCATCTAACACAGAAACCACCCTCTCTTCAGTCTCCATGCTCAGGACACATTCTTGCTATATAATGAGGCATAGAGGAATGAGAAAATATTTACAGCGAAATTATGATCCAGAGTCCTCTCTGTGATCTCTTCTTCCTGCTTCAGCATGCTTATAGGGAACTGATTCATCAGGGAGCTCCCTGGAGAAATACCAGCCAGAGGGCTTTTGGTTCTGCTCTTCTCCCTACCTCAACCTATCCATGGAGATCTCTCCCTGCCCGCTGGTCCATCTAGCCCTGCACTCTAGAGAGGGGTGTGAGGAGGTCAAACATCCAGAATGGGGACCAAACACATAGTTAGCAAGGGTGATTCCTTCCCAAGGTTCTAAGGGAAATTTGGGTTGACATCAAGCAAAACAGTGGGAAAAGAAACAGGTGGTCCAAAAGTCATCCCACCAGCCAAGATGTGAATGGTTTCACATCTAGGGGAAGAGAGTTGCAGGGAGGAGGTAATGCAGGCATATCCCTGTTCTCTAAGTCTCTGGGTACTGAGGCCTGGGGACAAGAGGCAGAGCTTGAAGCTCTGGAGAAAGTAAAGAGCTATTGGTGTTATTAACCTCTTAGTGTCTGGCACAACTTCTAAATGAAAGATTTTCAATAACTTCTACTCTCCTCCATCATGCTAATTATTTCTTATTTTTGTTCCGCTCTCTTGAGAAGCAAAAGCAGGGCAGGGGAGAAGGAAAGATAAGGACATCACATGGTATTGACATGTGAGGCTGGATAGGAAGCCAGGTAAATTCTAAGTCCCTGGCTTCCAAGAAGGAGCATCTGGACATAAGGTGTGAGCTCTCTAGACCACTGTGGGAGCCTCAGAAAAAGTCTTTATGCAAGAAAAAGATATGTCATCAACCCTTCTTGCTCACATAGTCCCCTGAAGAGATGCAAAGAAAGTGGGGGTGCAGTGGGAGAGAAGGGAGACCCCAAATGTCATGAAGAGATGAATCAGGTGAAGAATTAATTATCAGGAAGCTGTGGCTGCCTCCAAGGAGATGGAGTGGAATAGTTCATTTTCCTATATTTGGGGGAAAGGCCGCATAATACCTTGGGAAAATTTTGCCTTTTGCTGAGCCATGGGAATTGAGGAAAAACTGACTTTCTGCTTTTTATGTCAGATAAAGAAAGAAAAACCATGAAACTGAGAGGATAAGTGGGCCATTGAGTGAGTTGAAGAAGAAAGTTGTTATTTTCTTGGGGCTTGAATCAAATACTTCAGATCTGTCAAGCCGAATCATTCTAGATCTTTACTCCTTAGATCCCATGATTCTGATCAAATGTATCTTCTGAACTAACATGTCCTGACCCACCTCCTCTAACTTTGCAGCAGTTGGGCCAACAAAATGAGGGGGTTTTGTGTTGGAAGAATGCTGGGAAGAAAATGAGTTTTTAAGGAATACAGTGAATTTTCACAAGTATCCTCCAGAAATAAAGCACACTTGAGACTGAATGAGGGTAAGATTCCTAGGCCTCCTTCCACCTTCCCCCACTCCCAATTCCCTCCATTCCTTTAGTATCATCATCATCAGGGCCAGGTGCTGACCAGGTACTGATTTCCCCAGGGCTGTTCTTCCATGCAGTTCTTTCATCACCTGTTTAATCAGAGAGGGAAAGCTGATGTGATCACAGACTTCCTGATACAGAGGAGAAGATATTTTAGCTCCCCTTCATCTTTTCTTCCCACATTCCTAGTTCATGGATCTCATGAGTGAAAAAAGCTTGAGGTTCTAGAACCCCACTGGCGATGGTACCATTCTCTTGGTACCCAATGTGAGATTCCAGTTATCAGCAAATAACCAAGGGGAAATAAGGTTTGAAATCATTAGACATAACAGATTTAAAGAGGCCGCATTAACATAACTACTGTTTTCCAGCTGTCTCCCTCATCATTGTTCCCTTTCCACAACTGCCGACCACTCTGCACAGATATCCTCCTTGAATCAGAGGAAAATTTTGTAACGAGACTGAATCCCCAAGCTATATCAAGAGTCCTTCATTGGCTTGGTGAGTTGTTTCCTTGCACTCTTTTGGCTCTGCAGGGATTTGGAAGAAAGGTGGCCACTCAGATGAGAGCGGAGTAAGCTTCCCTAAATGAGCCACTCCTGGCTTTGACTCCCACTGCATCAGTTAAAGAGCCATCTCGCTCCTCTGGGAAATGCTTTCGCCTACCCTTTATCTCCCCCTGTCTTCAGATCCCCTCTCTTTTCACATCACTCCTGCCTTTCAGCTTTACCTCTACCTCCTGAATTCCTCTCTATTCCAATGCTACTCCATCTGGACCCCATCCCTTTTAAAGCTCTTAAGAAGCCTCTCGGTCAAACCTTTGTGGTTTTTTAAAAAATATTTCACTTTGTTTAAATAATTTTTGTACCCGAACTCTCAAATTTTTTTTCCTAACTTAAATCCTTCGATGGTTCTCTTTTCTTCAGTTTAATCTTCACCACAACCTCCTCTCACTTTTGTCCCTTTTAAGCCCTCCAGTTCCCAACAGCCCAATCACTTAAAATCCATTTCTTTGCTTCTTTGCCCCCAAGATAGTCTGAATAACCCTTTTGCTCCAATATCCATAAAACCTCAAACACTGATATCCCTTCCTTCTTTCCCCCAAATCTCCTTGACACGCTTCTACCCCAAGGCAGCTTCTCATTCCTTCAGTTCACATTACCCTAGTCCTTCAGACTCTTGCGTGCATCCGATTTCCCCCCTGTCTCCTCACACCCACTTGCTTCTCCTCCCAACAGTCCCCATCTCTTCCCCACTCACTCGGGTCTCCTGCTCAGGACGCCCTTGCCGAGGGCGGCGGGGGATTTGTGCTGAAGGAGGGCTCCGGCGGCAGCGCAACAACTCGGGGGACGCTCCTTCTCCTTGTCAGCGACGGCCCCAAGTGTCACCGGGTGCTGGTGGGGTGATTGGGGTGAGTGAGCCCTACTGCTGGGGCCCGCCTGAGGCTGCACCAGAAGCTGTCCGTGGTGCTGAAGCTGTGGCTGCTCGGGCGCGGACTGTGGTGTGGCGGATTGGAGCTGTCCGTGGTTCTGGAGCGGTTCCTGGGCCGCGGCGGGAGCGGTGGCCGGGGGAGCCGGCAACGGGGCCGACGATGGGGGGACGAGCCCAGGCGGAGGCTGCGCTTGCAGCAGCTGCTGGTGCTCCCACAGGCTGCGGTTCTCGGCGCTTAGCTCGTCCAGACGCCGCTCCAGCTCGTCGATGCGCTGGCGCTGGGTGTGGATGAGACTCTGCTGGTTCTGCACGATGGCCGTGAGCTCCTTGAGGTAGAGCACAGCGCGCACCGGATTCTCCAGCAGGCTCTCCATGCCGCCCGCCGCCGCCTGCGCCCTGCCAGCGCCTCGGCAGGCGGCGGAGAGCGCGAGGGCGCGCAGGAGCCGAGCAGCCCCAGCGGTCGGCTCGCCTCCCTCTCAGGCGGGCCCGGCCTCCCTCCCCTGCCTGCCGCCGGCGCCGCGTCACCGCCACACAGACATTCACACACGCACCAAGGGGCGGGACCGCGGCGCCAGGACCCACCCACCCTCTCACGTCTTGGCTGGGTGAGGAGGCTCTGCATCCCGCAGGGCAGAGAGGTGCGGGTGTGTGGCCCCAGGGGTGGGGGCAGGGGTGAGGGAGCGGAACGAACGAAGGGGACCCGAGATGGACGAGGTAAATCCGACTGGCGAGGAAGGGAAAGCGAGAGAAACCCAAAGCAGAGGTACTGGGACAGTGCAGCCGGGCTGGTAAAAGAAACAGTTAAGAAAAGGAAGAGGCTGGGAGAACGAGGAAATTGAAAAGAGGGGACGAGGGCAAAGGTAGAAAGAAATACACTAAAGGAGAGGAATTCTTGGGACTCGAACAGGTCCCGAAATTCTATGTCCAGTCACCCCAGAGAACTGGGGCCCCATCTTAAAGACATTGAGAGGAGAAGCCACACTCACCTCTTTTGTACTCAACAATCTATTCTTCTGGGGATTCCCTGGAACGCGGGATCATGGGACTTAAGGGCCCTCAGGAAAACCTATGGACCTGCTTCTTTATTCAGTCATGTGGAAACTTCGGGCCAGAAGGCTGTGCTGGATTTTTTCTGGGAATGAGACCTTTAGGCAGTTTTGGTCAGTCTAATAGGAACACAAACTAAATAACGCAGCCCTCTGTAGCAGGGGCTAATGCTTCCAGAAACTTCTAAAGAGATCATTCGGTTCAAATTTTAGGAATTGCATGCTATTAGCAAACACTGGGGTGGATGGTGGTAAGATAAGGATGGAATATTTGGCTTATGAATAAGTAGGTAAAACAGGTAATAATTAATTTTGACATATGGTGGTGGTGGCAAGTGGTTAAATAGAGAGACGAACAGCGTGCTGTAGGAGCCAACAATGTGGGGATCTGGAGGTCTTCTTGGAAGAAGTAATAGTTGAGGTGGGAATGGCTTTCCAGGAAGGGAGGACAGCATGAGCAAAAACTCATAGGAATGAACGAGCATGGATCAAATCATTCATTCATTTCAACAATAATTGCATGTAAAACACCCACTAAGTGCAAAGCATTCTACTAGGATCTATGCAGGCTTCAGCTAGCCTAGGTCAGAGGTTATAGTTTCTACAATCAAGTATATCACAATCTAATACAATAGGTATGGCATGCACATGGATAAGTAAATTTTAAGTCAAGATTTTTGCAAGAGTTCTTCAAGTCAAGTGCCACAGGAATTCAGGGGGGAGAGACAGATTTCCTCTGACTATGGGGAATCTGATAAAGCCTGATGAAAGTGTTATTTAAACCAGGTCATGAAGGACAGGAAGATTTCAACAGGTAGGTACAGCAGGGGAACAGAAGATGGGGATGATATGCCAGGTAGCAGAAAAACACCAAAGAATGAAAATAGAGCCCTTTGGTTTCATCTAATTTGGCAGGGAAATGACTCTTTCCTCTTTTCTAGAAGTGGGATGAGGAAGAGGCAGGACTATGAGTGTTTTTAGTGTATTTGTTGTTGTGCTATTTCATTCTCCACACAGGTGGCCCATCAGACTCCCTGTCCACCTGCTCTTCCCCCAGGATAAGCATATTTATGGATATAATGTACCCAGTGAACTGTGTCAGCCAAGCCCACCTGGTGCCAGACTTGAATGACCTTGTAGGAAGGAATTTGTTCTCTGCAAATAAATTGGTCACTCTGCATTTATAATGAGTTTTTATTTTGTTTTTCTTCCATTTATTTTCCCAGCAAACACTCTTCTGTAAATAACGAATGATTCAAGTGTATCCACAGCTGAGGCAACAGTTGGGAGATCAGAGTACCCAGGAGGATATTCCAACTAAATAATGAAGGCTGGAGATGGAACAAGGCCACAAGAAAACTCAAACACTTATATTTTGACTTTTCTCTGCTTGCCTAGTTTATTGGTTGCCCAGGAACTGGGTGCTTGGAGAGACCAGTACTATTTTTATAAGTGGAGCATAATTATTGATGGGTCTTGTTTAAAATGCAGATATCTGGGCCCCATGTCAATCCTGCTGTATTGGAATCACTAGGAATGGGGCCTAAATGTTTGTTTAATTTTTTTTCTTTTATTTTTAGAAATCAACTTTATTGAGGCCTAATCTATACATACTAAGATGCATTCATTTTGAGCACACAGTTCAATGAATTTTGACAAATAATACACTCATGTAATCACTACTGCAATAAAAATGCCATCATTGCAAAAAATAACCTCTTTTGCAGTTAATTCCTCTCGTCCCAGTTAACCACTGACTGCTTCCTGTCAATACATATTAGTTTGTTGTAAAATTTAATATTAATAGAAATTATACAATAATTACTGTCTTGTATCTCCCCCCTTCTCTCTCTCTCTCTCTCTCTCTCTCTCTCTCTCTCTCTCTCTCTCTCAGTGCTGGGGATTGAATTCTGGGGCACCTAACCACTGAGCAACCTCCCCAGCCCTTTTTATTTATTTATTTATTTGTTTGTTTGTTTTTTATTTTAGTTGTAGTTGGACACAATATCTTTATTTATTTTACTTATTTATTTACTTAATGTGGTGTTGAGAATTGAATCCAGTGCCTCACACATGCTAGGCAAGTGCTCCACCATGGAGTGCTTCCTATTTTTTACATTTTATTTTGAAACAAGGTCTCACTAAATTGCTGAGGCTGGCTTTGAACTGGAGATCCTCCTGCCTCAGCCTCCCCAGCTGCTGGGATTTCAGGTGTGTGCCACCACACCTGGCTCCTCCTCCCTCCCTCCCTTCCTTCCTTCCTTCCTTCCTTCCTTCCCTCCCTCCCTTCTTTCTTTCTTCATTGTTAGGGATGGAACCCAGAGCCTCCTGCATGCTAAGCAAGCACTCTACCTCTGAGCTACACCCCCAGACAGTGTGTCTTTCTTTTTTTTCATCATAATATTTTTGAGGTGCATCCATTCTGTTACAAATATCACTACTTTGTTCTTTTTTTTATTTCTGAGTAGCATTCATAGTAAATATACCATAATTTCTTTATCTCTTCACCTTATGATGAACATTTTGGTTGTTACCAGCTTCCACTTCTGTGTTGTTGTTGTTTTTAATATAGCTACTACCATTAAAGGACAGGTCTTTGTGTGTATGCATGTCTTCATATGTTTCACATGTTTTTTGAGAAGTAAAAACCTAAAATTTGAATTGGTGGACTATAGAAAGTACATTTCTACCTTACTAAGAAGCTGCCAAGTTGTTTTTCACAGTGGTTGTACTATTTTTTATTCTTACCAGCAATATATGAAGTTCAGCTGTTCGTCATCCTTGCTAACATTTGGTATTTTCCTTCCTTTTTAAATCAATTTGATATAGGTTTTGCTTTTATGTTTAGGTCTCTAATATCATTTTAGGGTAATTTTTCTGTTTGATATGAAGAGTCAATGTTTGTTTCTTCCATAAATATTTGACAGACTAAAATCTGAAATCATCTCAGCCTGTAAGTTTCTTAGTGGAAAGATTTTTAACTACAAATACACATTCTTTATAGTATAAGCCTATTCAGATATTTAATTTCTTTGTGTATCTATTTTGGTAATTTGTATCTCTGGTAGTCAGAATAACATCCCAAAGTTGCTCATTTTTTAATCCCCCAAACCTGTAAATGTGTAACTTTACATGGCAAAGGGACTTCAAATATATCATTCAGTTAAGGATTTTGAACTGTTAAGATTATTCTGGATCATCTAAGCGAACCCAATGTCATCACAAATGCCTTCATAAGAGGGGTGCAGGGTGTCAGAATCAGAGAAGAGATGTGACCGCAGAAGCGGAGGTCAGACTGCTGTGATTGCTCCCTGGGGTCAGGAGTCAAGGAATTCAGGTTGCCTGTGAAATCTGGAATACGGAGGAAAACAGATCCTCCTCCTCTGAGCCTCCAGAAGAAATAGAATTCTGCCAATACCTTGATTTTAGCCAGATGAAGCTCCCTTTGTACTTCTAACTCGTGGAATGATAAGATAATAAATTAATTGTATTGTTTTAAGTCACAATGTTTATGGTAATTTATTTCAATAGCAATAAGAAACTTGTACAGTGTCTCTCAAGAAATATATCAGTTTTATCTGAGCTATCAAACTTATTGGCATGAAGTTGTTCACAATATTTCCTGTTAGCTCTTTAGAATCTGTAGCCTATATAATGTTCCTTTTTCATCCCTGATCTTGGTAATTTTTGTATTCTTTTCCTTAAATCAGTCTAGCAAGAAATGTATCCATTTTATGATATTTTCAAAGTTTTTCAAAGCATACCAGTTTTTAGTATCATTGATTTTTTTCTCTGTTGTTTGTCTGTGTTCTATTTCATTGATTTTTACTCTTACCTTTATTATTTATTTTCTTCTGCCTACTTTTGGTTTTGTATTTGCACCTCTATCACTAGCTTAAGGTAGAAATTTGGATTATTGATTTTTCCTTTCTTTCTATTTAATATAAGTACTTAAATCTCTAAAGTTTTCACCAAGCACTGCTTTAGCTGCAGCCCGTATGTTTTGTTTACATTTTTTTTTCAAAATCTTTTGTAATTTCCCTTGTTATTTAAAAGTGTGTTGTTTACTTCCAAGTCTTTCTATTATTGATTTCCAATTCAATTCCTTTGCGGTCAGAGAACATATTCTATTGATTTCAATCTTTTAAATTTATTGAAACTTTTATACCGTCCAAAATATGGTATATTTTGATAAATGATCCGGGGGCAATTGTCTGATAGCCACTCTAGTTTTCTCACTAATGTTTGCATGTGTAGTAGGCAAAATATTGGCTCCCCAAAATGTCTGTAGCCTAACCCCAGGAACCAGTGAATATATTGCCTTACCTGGCAAAAGGGACTTTGCTAAAGTCTTTAAAATGAAGGACCTTGAGATGGCAAGATTGTCCTGGATT